CTGGGTCTCTCTTTAAAGCATCACTGCGAGGTAAACTATTTGCTACTATTTACTTTTATCAGTCCCCACACATTTGATTAAATGGTTAAAACATGGAGTGCACCGTCCCTGCCTGCCATCACACCTCTACTGACACACATACAAAATGAATGGTACTGGTGTCAAGTATGTTTGGCTTATTCATACGCTGGAAGTGTCACCTTCATGATGCCCACTTACACGATGGGCACACATTGGGTGGTGGAGAGTTTCTGATTTCTGTTTAGAACTTGGTCAACTTGCCTTTGCAAACTTTTAGAATATTCATGTACAGCTGTTTTGCACACTCAGGCGCTCAACAGTGTGAAATACTCTCAAGAACCTGTAGGGCTACATCAGCGCAGATTGAGCTTCTGTGGTCTGTTAGTGATGCCCCATGCTGTGTGGGTGCATCAACAGAATAAAAAAATCTGTAATGATGCCTGCTCATCCTTTCACACATCAGGAACACAGGAGCACAGTTAAAATAATGTTTCAAACACTTGATGAAACAGTCAAGTTTTTGTGAGTAATAAATAATCAATAAATCCAAAATAAATGCTGAACACTAAAACAAGAAAACGTTCTTTCTGATAAAGAAAATAATAAGCTAGAGAGTCAAACTATGTCATTTCGAATTTCTTCCTAATCAATCATTTATGCACCGTTCTTTCAAATAACACCCACACGTATGCAGTTTACATACACTAACATGCCCATGCATGCATTCTGCAGTGTGTGGTGGAGGAGGAGCTACTTTCAATATATAGTATGATTATTGTAATGAAGACACAACAAAAATAAACATCGGTAATTCCAGCCAATAAAACAATAAGAAATACAAGGGACAGAAGTTAAGTGTCATTCAAACACCTGATGTTGCTTCAGAGGCAGAAATCAAAGCCGTGAGGAATAACTAAGTAATAAAGTAATAACTCTCATAGAGTTAATGAAATAAAGTCTGCGGAACATAAACCTGATGGTTGAGGGATCACGTTGGCTCTGATAACAATCGATCATGAACTGATACAGATCGGGTTATTGCTTCACTTACTGTCAGTCACAACAATTATCTGCGTGGGTACAGAAAGAAACAGAACAGTGTGAACCTTTCACAGGGAACAGGCCTGTCACTCCACATGTCCACACCTTCATCGGCTCGATCCAACAGAGTCCCGTCGAGTTAATAGAAAGTTCAGACATAAATAAACGCCACAAGTACATTTGACATTGAAAGGCTCATTAGCTCGCGCTGTTAGCTTATTTTACTGTGAAAAAGCGTAATAAACGTGTTCTCATCCCGGAGGTGCACGTTTACTCGAACGGTCAAAGCAAAGGGTTAAAACACTTTTACGCATTTCACGTGTGAACAGTTCGCATGTTGGATGTTTTAATAGCAGAGTGTAAATTCAAGTTGTTTACCGTGAGTGCGGCAGGCGATCGGTACAGCGAGCAACACAGCTAGCCCGGAGTGACAGCTAACATGCTAACTACACGGTCACGACTCAATAGGCGAGCAGAAGGAGGAACTCACCTCGACTGTGTGTTTTTCAGAAAAACGACGCTCGCAGCTTCGTTACTCCACCATGACAGCGTGTGTGTGAAGTGACAGAAGCGACTCGGACTCGTTGTTGACGGCTCCGCTCTTCGCTCTTTCTTTTCGTCCTCCTCCCAGAACACTGGTCTACACGCAGGGACACACGTGCCGGTGCAGGGACTCGGCAAGTGATGCAGAATCCGCCGCCTTGATTGGACGAAGGGTTGTTCTGACTCCGCCCCGCTGACCGCCCCCGGCGCGTTCTGATTGGCTGGCAGGGGCGGGGACGGCCGCACGGGGCCCGGCGGTCACGTTGAGGAGAGTATGGTCCCGACTTCAAACACTGGAACATGAGGGGGCGGGGCCAACACACGCTGCTGTGGGCCAGCGGGACTGACCGTAAGTTACGGTGCAGCAGCGCAGCGGGATTATAATGTGATGAGGACGAAGCTAATGTCATTGTAGTGAAGGTATATGGTTCAGTGTCTGGTTATAATACTGTATTCATCACAGTGATGCACTCACGCACTTAGCTGGTTATAACTGCATAAATAACACTGATGCACCTACAGGTTGTTATAACTGCATAAATAACAGTAATGCACTGATAGCTGGTTATAACTGCATTAAAGAACACTGATGCACTTACAGGTAGTTAAAACTGCATAAATACAGCAATGCACTTATAGCTGGTTATAACTGTACATAAAACAGTAACACAAATATATCTGGTTATAACGATTTAAATAGCAGTAATGCACTTATAGCTCGTTATACTTTATGCATTTCTATTTAGTTTTTGATTTATTTATATTATATACACATTTTTGACCAGCTCCAAGTTGTAGTGCTTTTGATTAGTACAACATCGTGCTGTTGTACAGGAATGAAGATGATGCTAAAAGCTCCAGTAAAAACTAATATATGGATCATAAGTTGCTGTTTTTTTTTTTAATGTCAGATCATTACCATGCACTATTTAGTTTTTTATTTATTCATATTGTATACAAATGTTTGACCATCTCCTCATATTCCCCCTGAAAGTATCCATAAATATTTTTTTATTTTCAAATAACAGGTGAATATTTCTCCTCTCAAGTTACCTGATGATCGTGACACCGAATGGTCGTTGACACCATCCTGCCTGTACGCCTCAGCACAGAACAACACAGGATTTATCGCACTGCGCCTTTTTTTGGTACTTACGGCAGCAGCGAGGCCATGCATGCACTTTTCAACGTGCTCTGAGCTCGATGACGTTACTTGTCCTGCTCTCCCTCTCTGAAGGCACGCGGACGGCGGGGTGGTTGTTGACTGGCTGTAAACAGAGCAGATGTAGGGCACATGCCAGAGGCTGCTGGTACATTTTCTCTGCAGGGGGGGGGGGGGGGGGGGGGGGGTGCAGACCAAAATACAGAACGTACTCAAAGCATTAACCGAGCAAAAATCTAATAATGTGTGTTACAGTTGTGCATGAGAATTGATCTGCTGAACTGCAACTACCCTTTTGTATTTGTGTTAGTCGTGACTAATCGGTGTTAAGTCTCAGCGAAGATGGCCATGTTCTGCAGCTGCACTGGGATCCAAGCATCTCCTCTCTCGACGTTACTTTCAACTTCTCGGGAATTTTCTTACTAAGAATCTCCCCCGGTGACCCCACATGCAGTAAAATCCAACTCCTGCAATGGTATACACATGTTTGAAAAAATATATTATATTAATGCGCACTAGATTTAAACAGGAGCAGATTTATTTGCAAAATTGTGTATGAACAAAAAAAACCCCATAAAATCTAATACAAAAACAACACTATACTGTGATAATGTCCATTATTCACCTTTCTGAACCTTCCTCTGATAGAAGTTATTATTATCATGATTATTAGAAGTGGTTGAAATTATTTACAGTACAAGAACCCATTCACTACATTTATCAGCTTTATGTGGCTGTAAATGGAACATGAGTTTAGAATATTAAGTTAAATGGAAGTTGAGTTTAAAAATGTGTCATAAATCCCAGTGCGACTGAGTGAATCTATGCATAATCCGAGTTTTGTCTCTTCAAAAATAATTCAGTCAATATTTGGTCTGCGTCTACCACCACCTGACAGCCCCATTCGAAAATACTGAGAAGACGCGCCCCTGTGTGAATGTTCCACTTTGTTCAGCAGTCAGTAGTTTACTTGGCTTCTCGGCCTATGTAGCTTGGTTGGTCACACTTGGCTGGTCTGAGCCTGTTTGCTGGAAATGGCAGCGGAAGAACAAATCCAGAGTAATGACCTAAAATCTGCCTGTCGCTGCAGAGCTGTCTCTCACCACTATGACTGGCATAAATTCACTATTAAAATAATGTGTGTGTACTGAAAGATAAGTGGTAAGAAAATAAACTGTGCTTATCCTTCACACGCTTTTCAAAGACAAGATCTGTTGGTTTTAGGAACAAATTCAAAGAACAAGCAGATCTTGTCTTTCGAAAAAATGGAAATCTGCATTGTTGATCTGCAACACGTTTGACTGTAATCATGTGACTGTAAGTGCAAGAACATTTCTAATGTGTGAGAGACAAACAGTTTATTTGCAAACTAAACTTTGCACATAATAAAATTAGCACAGCAATAGTCTCATCATAGTATAGAAATGTAAATCTGCAAAAAGAAATGCACATTCAAATGTGATCAGCATGGAAAAATTCCACTAGAGGGAGGCATTGTGTAAACTTGACTCCTGGGGGAAACACTGACATGCAGGACTGACCCAAAATAATTAAACAAATAAATAAATTAGAATTAAAACAGCAATTTGAATAATTAATCTGATGAAACAAATTAATGGAAATCAGGAAATCAAACACAGTACCTGGTTGGATGTACCTTGCTTCTTTTCACTGCTGAGCTCAAGCTTTTTCACAGTTGGGTGAAGAATTAGGGCTCACACTGTGACATTGTGGGAATGTTTTGTGTTTGTCTGTAATGTTTGTGCAGATCAGCTTCTAATTACTAGAGGTGAGGGACTCAACTCACATTAGACTCAATTTGACTTTAATGACTTGAGATTAGATTTCGACTCTTTTTAAAAAATGTGTATTTGCGCAACGTAACAAAAAGCAAATTTATATTCAATTATATTATACAATTTTACATTATAAACAATATTTCAAATGAAAACTTTATTATTATTGAAATGTATTATTCTTACATTTCAAATCATGACATACTCTATCTCAGGTTTTTTTCAGGTTTCCATCCTCTTTATAATATAAATCAGTGCACATTTATAGAAAACACACTTCATCAATAGAAACAGGGACATATACAAACTATTATGTGAAACTATCACTCACAAGTTTTGAGTTATTCAGGTATTTGAATTGATTTCACGCTCAAAACGAAGATTTCTTATCAAGACCCAACGAAACCGGAAACCCTGGTCAGTGACTCCTCTTGCTCTCCTCCTCCTCCTGCTCTCCTCCTCCTCCTCCTGCGTACCGCTCTCTGTCGGGGGGGCGGCGCTGCGCTGGAATCAGGGCGTATCCGCTGTTTGGGAATCAGGAAATACGCTCACGCCCTGTGGTTAAGTTGACTTTAGTTTACTTTGACCACGGCTCGTTAGCGACCGGCCCCTCGTCCATCTCCTGCCCGTCACACGCATCACCCCCGCCCGCCTCCCTGCTCCCGGCTCCCGGCTCCCCGTGGTCCTGCCCTTCCATGGCTCATCCAACCATCGCCACACGTAAGTTTTCCAACTTTATTAACTTTTATTCTTGATGGACGCGGGGTGATGTGACGCCGCTGCGCGTTCTAGAGTCGTTGTCATTGCGTGTCCTCACTTTTACCCGCGGGGAAGTTGTCTCCCGCAACAAAATAAACAAACACATGTAGCAAGCAAGCGGCTAATTCAGCTAACGTGTGACAGCTACACGTCAACACACAGTGTTCACCAATGTGGGAAGATGGAAGAACACACTCGGCTAAAACCATTCAAAGTTATAGCTTCCGAAATAGCACTGCTAACTGCATGTTGAGCAAGAGCTCTGTCAAAGTGATATATTATTGAAAAGTTCAGACACTGCATCTGTGAAACATGCACAGTTTGTAGGATGTTGTAGTTTTTCAATAATGAAGGTCAGTCCATCCTAGTGGACTTGTAATGACTCTTGCAAAGTTAAAGTCGACAACTTAAAGGTTAAGTGTGTGGAGTTGAGTGACATCTAGTGGTGAAGTTGAATGTTGCAGCCGAACACCCCTCACCTCACCCTCCACTTAAAAATATGACAGAGAACCTGTGGGTGCTTCATTTGTCATAAAACCTCGGTGTTTAGTTTGAATATAATGTTTTTAAATATAAAGAATCTCTCTCTCTCTTGTCTTTATTAATGTAGATTTTTGGAATAATTAAGTCTTTGCACAGAAACCACACTCAAATATTCAGTCTTTCATTGACAGCCAAAGATGTCTCATGAGCAACAATTGATTTTTTTTACACATCCTGATGAAGCCCTTTTTAAAGGTCTCTTGTGGATCTATTTGAAATACAGCTCAGACCACTTAAGCAGACGACTGTATGTGTGTCTGCATCAGCAAGCGTTCTCTTTTAGTTCCAGCCAGTGCTTTGGTTTTCTTCCTAACCTTTAAAATGCCTGGCCTGTTTCTGTTTTCCACGGAGAGTCCACAGGAGTCTGTGGCACGAAAAGGCCAAGGCTGAATCCTCATGCTAATTCAATGAGACCCAGTCATCCAGTGCCTTGGTTTGAAAACAGGAATACGTTTGTGTTACGCAAGTGTGTGTGTATGTGTGCTGTAAAAGCGTACTGTTTGTTTTGGATCGTTCCATGTGTCTTCACTTCATTTAAAGCTGAAATTTAGGGTTCGTTTAGGGTCACAAGATCAATTTTGAGGAGTTACAAAATCATGAGAAGGATACGAGAGGTTATAAAATATCAGCTGTGTTTCATCTATTCATTTATTTTCTCTGGCTTTTAACAGGTTAAAAAAAATTCTGAATAAGTTAATAAATAAAAGGTGCTCTGTTGTCCTGTCTCCTGATTGCAATTGGAGACGAGTGACTAGATGGAGGACAAGGGTTTGACGTGACAGGACTGTCTCTTGTTATCTGAACTCACGTGGATCGTTTCAGTGAAGGGGTCTTAGATTTGCTTGCCAAAGTGCACATGATTTCCTCAGTAAGAGGAAATGCCGCAGTTAGACCGAGTCTTTATGAACCTCTAGTATTCACTGCAGAGCTGGAGACTACAGGATGTCATTCTGATGTTTGTTGGTCAAATGAAAAGCTTTGGTGGTTTGTTTAATCTTTTTCTCTGTGTTGTGTATATTTTTTACAGCTTTTAATTGACTAACTGTGTTTTTGAAGATAACAGGACAAGAAAAGAAAGATTTGAGGTGTAGAACAAAAGTATTTATATTGTTTATATATATATATATATATATATATTGTATTTTTTAGTTGCACAGTTTGATGTGAACATACAAAATGTGGTTATTCGCATGGTGAGTGAGGAGAGTTTCCATTTCCTTTCTATCTCTACATGACTAAATGCATGAGAGTAATGCAGTTACATATGTCAAAGATCACGTTACAGGCAGATGAGCGAAGAAGTCTGTCACTAAATTCTTCATCTGTTTCTGATTTCCTGTTTTAAAAGCTGTCACTCAGGCTGTAAACGTCTCACAGAGTCAGAACTCCTTCTACAAACTAAAATACATCTGAATAAGGTTCATTTCCTTTTGTAAACATGTAGCCTGCTCCCTGATGTCATGTTGTCTGCTGATATCAGTGTGAAGAAACATCACATCCTCTTCTCTGAAATGCTCTTTTGGCTTTGTCTGCAGGTCATGTGTTGACCACTGATGAGTAATACCGTTACTTCTGTGTGCAAATTTGCTGTTAGCAATAGCAGGAACTATGCAAAGTACGATTCATATATTCAAGCACACAAAAGCATTAAAAGTGTTAAACTTTGCTTTTATAAGCAGCTGAAATCATTCCCTGTGAACAGTGGATGTTTAAGAGAGAGGAAGAATACACAGGTTAAATCTAAAACAGTCTACATAGCTAAACTGTCTCACACTTCAGTATTTCAGGTTATTTCTTTCAGGTATTTCCGAACATAAATCACCCCCTTTGTGTTTCTGCAGAGATTGATTTTACATCATCCTGTGAAAGAGGCTTTTGTGGCAGACGTCGATAACCTTCAGGCAGACAACTTCTCACACGCTGATTCCCGATAAAACTGCAGGAAATTAAACCAGCGGAACTGTAATGCTGACCTATTCAGGTGCATCCTACGAAGGATGTTTCCCTCTCTGGATTTGACAGTGTTGACAGAAATACTTTTTGGGAGGATATCACTTATCAAAGTTAGAGCGATATCTGCAGGAGTCGCTATCATATTGAGGTTTGTAGTTTCCAGGGGAATTTGATGTTTATGTGCTGTGATCCTCAGAACAGCAGTTGCTCACTGTAACACAACATGCTTCCCTTGTGGCCAGGGGCAGTTTGACCCCGTCAGCGTTCAACCGAATCTTAAAACGCCCCGTGCAGCACAGTGTGTCACTGTGACCTTCGTGTAAAACGTTTTCTTAAACCCAGATTCTCTTCTCACCCTCTTATCCTGACATTAGAATAAACACGCTCGCTTCTTCAGGCTTTTTTTGGAGGATATCTGGAACTCATCAGCAGTTTTAATGTGACACTCAAGTATATTTAACAAAGCAAAGACAAGCAGCCTTCAGCATCACAAGTACTCTGTTTATCAGCAGCACCAGGATACCACCGCTCTGTACCACGATCACCACCGAACAGACTCTGGCTCTGAATGGCATCAAAAGATGGCAGCACATTTATCCAGGATATTTTAGCTCCGTTTTTATAAGACAGGGGGAAGGGGAGATGCAGCGTTCTATTTATATACAGTCGAATGTCCTGCTTCGTATGAGTCATGGAAAAAAGCATTTGTTCACTTACACTTTAAGTGTCAGCTGAGTCAATATATTTGCTACCATTATTTGTAATTTTTTAATTTATACTGCACATGATTCCAGAATGCCTGTCTCTTTTCCTCTGTATAAATGCAGTATTATTATGTGATTCACATAATTACCGTGTGAATCCACATCTTTATTTTTGGCTGGCGCTCTGTGGACTTCCATCGTGGCACCATGCTTTGGTTGCTAAGCGATTTGTGACTCAACTCCAAATCCTCCTCAAGGACTCTCTTCAACCCAGTTTCCACTGTGTTTTTTTTTATTCGACGCTTTTAATACAATCCTCAATTTGGACTACGATTCCTACTGAACCACGTTGAGAGGCATGGGACTCTGCCAAGACGGCCAATCAGAGCGGCCTCCTCTAGATATAAGCCAGTGGATGCACAACAGTCGGTCACAGTGCGGTCACTGAGCGGACAATAGTCTGTAACAGTGTGTGTTGGGTCTGATGCACGAGGGAAGTGGAACAAACAAAGGAGGAACACAAATGCCTGTATGCATCAGGAGGCACATGGTTAGATACACAGACACATGCCTGTACACAGCACTGCAGCACATTTCAGAATGAGATGAAGATATAGTTTTATTGGAAATGATTGAGATTATTTAAGATTGGCCCTGTATTTCTTTTGGTCTCGCACGCACGCACACACACACACACACACACACACACACACACACACACACACACACGTGAACAGGAAAGAGGACAATAGCCCTCTTGTGTGTTGTACTGGAATGCCTTATGTGGTGCTCCGACAGCAGGAGTCAGTTTTCTCCTAAAGCTGACCGCAGGTCGCCATCCACACTTTGACCTCTGACCTTTATCCGTTTCACGATGGCTTGACCGAAATCTTATATGAGAGCAGTCAGTCATGTACATGGAGAGCCTTTGAGAGAAATAATAGTAATTAACTTTATTTATGTAGCACTTTTCACTGCATAAAACAAAGTTGTTAAAGCTACGTTTGGATTACAACAAAATAAAGACGTTTTCTGTACATTTTTTCAATTTCTTTGAAGGGATGTCGAGCTGCAGTTTTTTTAGCATTTTCATAATCGATTAATTGTTCATATTTAAAGCATAAATTAAAAATATTTGCTTTTCTTCGCCATGTAAGATATCATTTCTTTACATATAATAGAATAAAGAGATTAAGCATCACCAGGTGTTTCTCTTGATGAACCAAACTAATATCAGTTGTCAATATCATTAACATTTCCTTTTTGACAATTTATGGTATTTGGATGGAGACTTGCTCACCAAATACATTTTTTACAGATTTACAGCCGTGATCTATATTTAAAAGTATAGTATAAACTCAGGCATTGTTTCAAACACACTTCCCAAGAGCCGTGTTTCACCCTAATGGGTCTAAAGTCTGGTTTGTAGATGGTGGGCATGTGGAAGTGGAAGCAGGAAAATTGTGATTTACCAGTAAAGTTTATGATCCTTGTGTTCCTTTTACTCCAGGTACATAATAAACCCTGAGGTATGACCAAACATGAAGAGGGGCTCTATGAGCTCTTAATCTAAAGTGAATGAAACGAGTGCATATGCGTGTCCAAATCCACCTTTGCTAATTTAGTGGTGGGAATAAAGGTCGCTGCTTCAGGCGAGGGATTCAAAACGCTTGTGCCTAATCTGTGCAACAGCATGACGTGAAACATAAAAACTCCATCAGTCTGAAACTAGCAAAGACACTTGGGGGCATGTGTTATGATAGGGCTCTTAATATTAATTGCACATCCGCAGCAGGACTGTTGCATTTACTGACCTCTAATGTATTTTAATGCAAGAGTCATTACAGGAGGGAAAGCACTGGATTGCTCCCACAGGACACGTGTAAAGCTCTTTTCAACAGCTTTACTCTACAAGTCTTCATTTTGCCTCTTGCACCGAATGCTGTGGAACGAAGACACAACAGGTTTGCATCAGATGCAGAGACAGCAGCAGCCTCGACTGATCCAGGACGAGAACATGAAAGCTCAGTTGTGTTGCAGCTGATAGAATTTAAATCCTCTCAGCTGCTCAGCACAGGCCTCAGGAGTATCCTCCGTGTCAGTGTCGATATCAAGTTACCATCAAGGGCGTTGTGTTGATTCTCTAAACCCTGTGCCGTGTTGCAAGAAATATTAAATTTTTAAATAATCTCTTTCATTTCTACATTAGATGAAACTCCAGTGACTGCAGGAGGAGGGGGCAGCAAACCAGACTACATCGCCTTCGTCCTGGTGCCTGTGTTCTTCCTCCTTGGCCTGTTGGGGGTGGTGATCTGCCACGTGCTGAAGAGGAAAGGCTACCGCTGCACCACAGAGGCCCAGGGGGACGATGAGGTTTTCCATGAAGAAGAGAAGGATCCTGAACTGGGTGACGGTAAAGAAATAAATACCAAGTGCCAAATACCACAAAGTTTTTTTTTTCTCAGATAAAAATTGTCCAACTAAGCGGTAATTTAAAAAAACTTGTCAGACTCTTGGAGATTTGTTAATTATTTCTGTCACACTGTGATGCTGTCGCTTTTCGGTCAGTGGAAAAAACTAATGCGGAAGAAGAGATTTCTTTGGCAACATTTTCCTGTTAGTCATAGGTCTGCGGGAGGTTTTCCATTTTCCTGTTGTGTGACTTTTGAAAATCAATATGAGACGTTATGTAATAAAGTCACATTGGTTTAATATGCATGCCCTACAGTATTACAGGCTGGTACTACATTCCTGACTCTAATAACTTTGGTATGTACCACTACGTACTGTAGGTGCGGACAGATGATGATGATAATAATAGACCTGTGTGATGTGAGTTCATTTCCTGTTCATCAAACAAGGTTAAAATGCTAAAGTTCTGCATAGGTCAGAGCTTATTGAAGGAATACGTGTGTATTTTCTGCACCACTGAATAAGAAGTGGTTTTCACTAGTTTTGCACTGATGAATGGATCTTCAGGAAAAACCCTGAGCTCAGTGATACAGATTATGCTGTTATTTAAAGTCATCATGTCTTTGACTTTTACTGCGGTCTTATCTTATCCATACTCTTCTAATGACAGAAAGCCAATGTCCTTTTTTTTAAGGAGTGGAGGCAAATAGCAACCAACCATCACTCACGCTCTGACTTAACAGGGGTGTGTTCAGTGAGGTGAAGCAAAACAAAGTCTGCGCTTAAGGCCTGTTTGATTTCCCTGGGCTTCGCTGCAGATAATGCTTAATTGTTATGGAATTTGTGCTCATGATGAAGAGTCTTCTGGCCTCCCAGAGAAATAGTTAAAAAATAAAACCCAGGACTCCCCTTTATTTTACAGTACATGGTAAGACTCTGTCATATAGTCTACAGACGAGAAACTCCTGGCATCTCTTGTTTGCCCTGAGGTGTTTCATGGGCATGAGAAATATAATGGAGAGAAGGGACTGTTTACACGTGAGGCATCTAGCAACTAAAGAAATGGCGGAGAACAAAATGGAGCAGAAAGTAGATTTGTTTCTGTCCTGTCCTCTCAGTAGTTCCCTCTTTCTGCATCGGTCACATCTGGTGCGCTCTTCTCTCCTTTCAATACTTGTTTGCTGACGAAGAACTCCTGGAATCACTGGTTGAACCGAGGGGATTTCACAGGCATGAGAAATGTACAAACTGTTTGTACAAGAGATCCTGCTGTCGGCCTCTCTCGCTTATCTGTTATTGTGCAACTGACCTCTCAACGGTTTTCCTTCTGGAATATAAAGTCTCTAAAGTAATGTTGACCAAAGCTAATAGCACTAATTCCTCCTACCAAATGTGACCACATTTGTTAAGTGGAGTACAGCAGGTATTGAAACGGACAGGTGTAAATCTGGTTTTTAGGTTTTAGTTCCCTGCCAGCAGCAGCAGCAGCAGCTCTCTGTGTCTTGTCTTTTGTCAAACAGCCCTACCCTCTCTTCCTCATACATCGAAACAAAAGAGCAGCAGGAATAAAAAACATTTTTTTCCACCCATGTTCAGTTCTTCCAGTCCCCTCTTGTTTGTTAATGAACAGGTTTCCTCTTGCATTGTTGTCTCTTTCTCTTTTTGCTTTTGTCTCTTACATCATCCACTGCTTTTTAGGTTTATACCCTGTGGACAGCTTTTATAGGTCACTGCAATTCAGAGTAATCAGACATGACATGGCAGAGGATTTCCACAAGTTGTGGAAAAAGTATGTTTAGGGGAAGTGAGGAAAAATTGAGAAAGCAATAAACAGGAAACTCTGGGAAGTGCCTCCTAGGGTGTGTGCTGCATGGAAGGGCTGGTTTAAATTTTTGCAGTCAGTGATTGCACATTCTTATGGATTAGTGCGTGGTCTCAGGCCAAACTTAAACATTCCAGTGGTTTCACTCAATACATTGACGCTGATAGTTTCACAATGTTTTGGTGACGAAAATTGATGAATTAATCAATAATTCTTGCATCAACAATGGACACGTTGACAGAATTATCACCCATCGTTTTGGTTTTACAGCCAGCGACTTGATTCTCTCTCACAGCTCTCCTCTATTTTGTTTCTCATCATAACAGGCAGCCTTTTTTATTTGAAAAGTCCTTATTCCAGACAATGTTAGAATCCAGCTGTGAACATAACACAGTTAAAGAACCAGATATTTCTCTCAGGAGCAGGTGGAAAACAAAACAGAGCAAAAAGTAGAGTGTTGCTTCATATCTGCCAAATGGGTAGATAGTAAAATAATGTTTGATCACATGATATCAACTTTATAATTCAAATAACATGACAGTGTTGTGTTTATAGCTTGTTACACTGCCCCCAAGTGGCCAAAATTTCAATTAAAGCAGCTTTGCCAAACTTTAATCTCTCGAAAGGAAAACAGTCACACAAAACGCTGCATTTAGTGAACGTGTTGGTTCCCATTATAACTAATTAATTGCATTTCTGCTCCAGTTAAACAATAAAACCCTCGGGAGTCATGTCATCAAGTTCTAATATTAATTAGAGCTTAAGTCCTGATTGTTGGGCTTCTTGTTTTGCATTTACAAGGGAAAGGGCTCCAGGTTGTTAGAGTCCTAAGGCCAAACCTGAAAAGTGCTTTAAAACTAAGGTTTCTTAAACTGAAATGGTCCCGTTAATTAATATGACTGGTCTTTGTGAAACCGAAGCCTAAATATTGGTGAGCAATCAAAGCTGCTTCATGATATTCTGTTTTTACTGCTTATTGCTGAAGCAGTAACACAAGTGTTTCCCGTTGTGTTGTTTTTTTCAGAGCTGAACGACACCCTCAGTGAAAACAATGACACAGTCGGGCAGATTGTTCACTACATCATGAGAAACGAAGGTATGTTTCCGACATATTAAAATGACAAACAAACAAAATACACTTCTAATGCCACGTTTATAATCCTGACTTTGTATTTCTCATTGTCCTGTATGCAGCGGCTGTCAGATACATTTCAAGCACAGGAATGTTTCACACTTTCTCACAATTCATAATAAAAGCCTTGGAATGCGGCACTGTGAGCGTGTTTGACCCCGGTCAGGTCCGCCCTTTACGAGCCCTCCTTCATGAAGGTGTTACAGCCGGTTCTCCATTATCATTTTGGCACTGCCACTCTCTATTTGGGAAGGAAGTGAGTGTTGACGGGGATCTCTGTGGAAGTCCATTATCAGGACAAACCGTCCGCTGCCAAATATGTGATGATGCTGTTTACGCACAATCGATTCCGTCACTGTTTCTTATCTGAATCACATAAATCTTCATTTAATCGCTGTATTCCTGAAAATGTAATACTGGCATTACTAACAGTTAATTCCTCCTGAGCTGGAAGTGATATAAACGGCAGCACTTATTCCAGATAATTGCTTTTTCTTTTAGTTGATATAACAAAAGGAGAAATGAATAGACCTCCAACAGCTACAGAGTTTCATTGAAATCACATAGACTGTATTTAAGATGTGAGGATGATATGACAGTGCCCGAGGAGTGAAGCAAAAACACCTGTATTGCCCCCTGGTGGCTGGCTGCAGTATGCGTCATAGTCCCAGCCTCCTCCATGTTAGTGGATGGGACATTGGCCAATCTGATCATTTTGGTTTTGATTAGTTATTTGATGCTATGATGATGCGGTGAAACGTCACGGTTGATAGCAGAGACTGACTCACATTTGGTTGAGCATGTGACGGTAGGACGTCGGTAAGACTCTGGGTCCAAGAGACCACAAGTGCAAGATGGCCGCCCCCGTATTAAGTATTTGGTCTGAAGGTGAAAACGAGTGCTTGGATATTCTTCACTTGAGTGTATATCTGTAAATATCTATCAAAAAATAGGGACTTCATCTTGTTTGAGTTATTATTAGGTTACATTGAGGTCATTTCATATCATAGATGTTCATAACAAGATGTAGATATAAATGTTTATTAACAGATAGTAGCGGAATGTGTTTAGCAAACAAGAGGAACAGTAAGACTGGTCCGAAGTGAAAGGAGGTGGAGAGAGACGCTCGAGTCTGGTTGTGTTGCAGCCGGAGAATCTGAACAGACTGAAGGGATTTTGCGTGTACACATACAGATCAAACATTTTGTTCTCAACCACTTTCACTTCATCAAACAGCTCAGACATCACACGGAGCCGGGGGACGGACGAGGCAGGAGATGAAGGAAAAATAAAGGAGAGAGGGAGAGAAGTACACAGTATAAGATTTTTTTTTTTTGGCATGCCACGCCAACTGTTTATGACTGTGAGCTACAAAACATATATCCCTGCAACAACACTTAAATGTAAACTCCTCTCTTATACTTATATACTTAAGGTTGGTTTACGACTAATATAGTAAATCTCTCCAAGTGTTTATGGTTACAGCTATCATCACGCTTATTTCCTCCTTTTGAAGCATCCACACTTGGTACTATATCAACTGGTAATGAATGACAAGCATAGTAAAAAAAAGTTGTAAAAGGGTAAAACTTTAGTTGTGTAAGAATACTGCACATTAATACAAATTTAAATGTCTTTATAATTATGGTGTGTTTTATATGATAAGTGCGTGGGTGAGGGTAAAATCAATTCTACGAACTAAGATTATGGCTTTTTAAAAAGAAACAAATATCTCAATGGTTTAGCATCAGTTTTACATTTTATTGTCTTCTTACTTTTTCCCAGCTCTATAAGGTGAAACTAATTCCTTCTGCGGAATCTAAACCTCCCTTCATATCTTATCTAAAGGCTTCACATATGATAACTGATGAAGGCAGTATTGTCCTGTCTCGGTCCCTGTGTTAAAAATTGATTTTTCTTTCCTCCTCTCCTCCTCGTCCAGAGTTGAGCTGTGAGCTGAGTCATCGCTCTTTTTTCTTCTAACTGTAGTATTTGTAAAGTTGGAGTCCGTTAACTGTGACTCACCCTCACTTCAGTTTTGGAGACGTGGAGACGTGGTTCAGGGACTCGAACCATGGAAAAATTCAGTATTATAAGGGTGTGACAGAAGAAATGTGTTTTTTGTTTACCAGCAGCAGTTTAAGATTAACTGTAATTATCACAAAATAAAGACGGGTTTCTCTTGAAAAAGAAACTGCCTGATCAAATAAAGATTAAATAAAAATAGAAACATTACTTTGTGGTTTAGATGCTGAAAAAGTATTTCCCTTAAGTTAAGAAAAACATTCAAGTTCATAACATCAAAACCTATAAAACTACATAAAAAGTATCTGCAGTAAATCATCAGTAAACTATGTGAATGTGGTTCAATCGGGTTTAATTGTAGCCTAAATATAGCCTGCAACATACAAGAAATGTCTCTGCAAGAAAATTATATAAATCAGAATCTGAGCTGTTATTGAAGAGATATTAGCAGGTAATTCAAGAAATTCTGAACTTTATCCCTTATTTGACTAGAAGTGAAACTTCTCAGAGTTTGTTTGGTCTGTCTAAAGTTCTTCCAGGTTTGTCACGTTCCCCCTGATGTTGTTGTGTACAGTGGCTTCAGCTCAGTGCCGTTTTAATTGTGTTAAAGAGTTAATCTGTTGTAGCCATCTTCTTCTAAACGCTCTGCTTTTGAAGTCACTGGAGCGTTCTCCTCGCTAATTCCCAACACCACTGTTATCTCTCTCTCTCTCTCTCTCTCCCTTCCCCTCTCACTTTTGCATGAGTGTCTAACTCCCCCTCTCTCGCTCTCTCTCCCCCATTTTCCAGCAAACTCCGACGCCCTGAAAGCCATGGTTCACGAGAACAGCATTGATTCTGATGGGTAAGTGTCTCACTCAAAAACAATCAAATTCATCCATGTGTTTTTCAAAAAGACTTCATTTGAGTCTCTCTGATAAATGAATAAACAAGAGTGCTGCTAACCATATCAACCACCAGGTGGCACCATAAGCCTCCTGGACATCCTGAGGTGAGAGCAGTTGATGCAGGGATGTATGAAAACACAAGCAGGCCGTGTGTCTCTGCTGAAACACTTCCAGATTGGCAGGGCCCGATCGAGGGCGAGCATTTGTGGGGACAGTTCCTGAAATGTGGCTCTGCCCCACATCACTGCATCGAGGGGTTTTTAAAACATATTGAGCCCAGTGGTTGGCATGTTTCCTCACCCGATTTTCAGCCAGAATACACCGAGTGTGACTCTGACTCAAAGTTCAAATGGGAGCAGTGGGCAAAGAAAGAGTGGATATTTACAATCTAGAGCTTTAAAAGTACAGACGCTTTCATCAAAGCTGAAAAAATCAAAACTATTAAGTCTTTTATAAGGTTTCCTGCTTCTGTGCCTCATATCACAACACAAGTTATCTGGAGATTTTCTTTATTATATTATAATAAGAAATTATAAGTAATTGATAGATTAACTGATTATTTTAATAACTGTCATTCTGACCAGCAGAGGGCGACTCAAGAAGTCTATGAGAAACTCTTACTTGATGTGTAACTTCACTAAGGACTTTATGATCTGATTCTCTACTTTCAAGTCTTCTTCAATACATCATGAGGTTCATTTAGTAAGTCACGGTGCCATTTAGAGTCAAATAGACGATAAAGCAGCAATATGTGTAGGTGGGCGTGCAGTGTCCTTGAGCTTTCAGTCAGTCCAAATATAAAAAATTCATCTCTAAAACAGAAACCCAAAGGCTCAAGGCTTCAAAACAGAAGCTCCTGAACCATTGACATCACGGTGTGTTAACACAAGTCTCGTGTTCTGTTGCCTCACACATCAGTTAGTCCTCATTTTAAGAAGCCTTCTTCTCATTAGAAGTGAAATGGTCTGTTTTGAATGTGAGCAGCTAAATATTCAGATTATATTTCACTAACCGGCTCTACACAGAACAACGCTGTTCATTTCCACATCCTCTGCATGAATCATGAACTGGGGAGGATGCTGACTTTTTATCCTCTGAAATCATGGACCCATTGTTTGCAAATGATCTCAGATGTAGAGCGGTTGATGCAACGGTAACTAAGCTACCAATCAATAGAGAAGTATCTGATGAGCTGGATGGTTTTTTTTTTTTAGCAGCACAAAAAAATCTACAGGCCCTGAAAAGGATTTTTTTTGGAGGATCATTCATATTGTCGTCTCAAATCAAAGGCTGTGACCCTGCAACATAAGAACAGCAGCCGATGGTTGGAGCAGAGATTAGACGTCTACACGTTTCATCCCAGCGTTCCTCTGCGCAGAGTAAATGAGCGAGTGTAGTGCTGAGATAAGAGCCGAGAGCGAGTTGGGCAGATAGACGGATAGAAGGAGGAGGAGATGCTCGCGACAGTGGAGGAGTCTTAAGTAAATCGAGTTAGAGGAGTATGTTTTCCCTCTCTCTCTCTCTCTCTCTCTCTCTCTCTTTCCTCCTGTCATCTTTCTTGTCCCGCTGCATATTGTTCTCAGAGGAGAGGAGGGAGATAAAGGAAGGGGAGATGTTCTCTTTTGTTGGGGAAGAAGCAGTGTTGATAAATGGCAGCAGCATTGCCTCGGCGAGGATTAGGTACTGAGGTATTCTGCTCAGTCACATTGGGCATCCTGGAAAGAGAAAATAAAAAAAAATCAGCAGAAATCTGCAATCACCTCCATGCATCATCTTCTGTGCTCTCTCCAGATTTCTTTTCACACGTGTATTTCCGCTCCCATGTTTTGTTTTTTCCTCCTCCCGTCCCTCTTTTTCTGTCCAAATTTCTCTTTGTGTTACTCCCTCTCTCTGTCGCTGTTCATATCAGTCTCTGTTTTTCTCTCGGCCCGGTTGGGCAGCCGGCCAGTGGATCACTTAGAAATGGAGGAATGGTGGGAAGAGGGGGTTTCACCGGGCGTAATTTATGGGACACTTAAGGGGGGAAAAGGAGGCAGAAGAGAAGGAGGAAAAGGAGTTAGGGATGGAGAGAGGCTACAGGGAGGAGAGAGAGACTGTAGTGTGGCCAGGCCTTGCTATCTGCCTCTCCAGATTCACTACTTCACTTCCCCTCTGCTCACTGCTGCTCTCCCCATCACTACTCCACCTCTCCGACATCCCTCGCTTCCCTGTCGTCTCTCCACAACATGCTCCGTTCACATCAGCGTCTCCCTTTAATCATTTCCTCCTCTCCTGTGTCAAACTCCTGTTTCATACCTCTGCTCCTCAGAGACCCTCACACTGCATATGTGCTTCATAAATATTTGCATTTGATTTAAAAACAATGCTCTTGCTCACGCATGTACTTATACGCCTTGTTTATAGTACCCGTCCTGTAAAGCTTGTACCACGTCAACTTTGTTTTAAATTATTTCAAAAAGACACGAAACACCAGAAATCATCTCATAATTGTAAATAAATGTCTTTGTATATTCAGAAAAAATAAATAGGGCTTTAACGTACATACATACAATTTTACTTCCTGTCCCTTTGCGTCATGCGCACGAGTTTCTGTCAGTGAGCGGAGCTGCTGTTTATTCTGCCTTTGTGTGTAAACAATGTGAAGAGCTGCTCTCCAGAGTCATAAACATGCACACGCTACTGCTGCTCTCAAATACATATATGAGAGAGAGAGAGATAGAGAGAGAGAGCAAACAGACGAGCGAGCGAGCCTCAATTAGTGTCTGTTAACACTCTTCTAAGATAAATACAGTACGAGTGGAGAGAAAACATGGACTGTTGGATATCTCGTATTTAATTCTCTACATCTCTCGTGACGTCTGCTCTTTAGAGGTTATTACTTTGAATATAATTACATTAAACATCATTTCCATCTCTGCACTGGTGTACAGTGACATGAAACAAACTCTGCAGCTCAACTCTGTCAAATGCAAATGTGTCGGACTGAATGTCGTTCAGATTTTGGAAGTTCTCAAAGCCGATCATAAAAAGTTTTTGTTTATGTAATTGAATCGTATGATACTACAACAGGTGCTGATCTCATTGATATTCTAAAATCTCTAACATCTGCTTCCTCTCCCTCAGTCCTCCTCTCACTCCGACCTCCCCCGGCAGCCCGGGCAGCCCGGGCAGCCCCATCACTCCCATCTCACCCGGGGCGCCCCCTGGAGCCCCCAAGCACACCTGCAGCCACCTGCACACCATCGGGGGCCCCGGCGGCCACAAGAACATCTGCACGCGCTGCAGCCAGAAGAAATGGCCGCTGATAAGGAGGCCGTCACCGCGCAAGTCGGAGCATCGTCGCAGCCACTATGGAGAGGTCACTGTCCTGGCTGTGGGCAGGTGTGTGTTTGTGTGGAAAGAGAGTTTATTGCCGTGTTTAATCTCCGGGATTCCCTGGAATCACAACACACAGGGTGCTTTAATTAGCGGAGGTAAATTAAAACTTACACAGTTTGCCCCAAAGCCACATCAGACAAAGGTGCACACAAAACATTAACGATCAAACATCAACTCAGAGTAATTGCCGGTGAAAAAAAATCCACACAAGTAGATTGAGTTTTCAGTGCACTTTGACATTAGACCAGCCACCTGGACAATGACATGGCTGGGCGGTCACAGAGAAGCCTGGGAAAAACCCTGAAGCTGCAGAGCTCAGTGGGAGTGGAGGTTGAGTGTGAAGCGTCACCGGTTGACCTGTGTTGTGTTGCGGCGACCTCTGTTTAAAAACACACCAAACTGGAAAGACAGAGACGGCAGCAGAGAAGCCGGTGATATCTCGAAGCTCTCTGCCTCAGTCTGCTGTTTGAACACACGTCAACAGCAACACTGTTAGTGTACGTTTCCCTTTTTCATAGATTGTATTCAGCTGCAGAAATTGATAATGCAAACTGATGCTGTTGCTTCCATTATATTTATCAATTTTATTTGAATTGCCCGTATTTACAAATCACAATTTGACTCATAGGATTCAGGTTTTTTAATGTTTCTTCATCACAGAACTTTAGGAGAGATAGTCGATGAAGCAAAATTTAAAATTGCGATTACACAGCAAAAATGTGGACAAACAGGTTAATTTAGCTCAGTGAGCTCTGTCCACTGATTAGATCACTCAGGAGGAATCGTAATACCAGGTCTGAACACAGTCAATGTGTGGGAGGCTTAATATTTTTTTAGGATTCAGGAATCGTAAGGTTTCATCCCAGCTGAACATGCATGTGTGAAAACCACTGACAATGGACAACCTGAAAACATTTTACATTCCTTTCCAGTGTTTTATGTCAAAAACTCCACATCAGGAATCAAAACTCTCTCTCGTGTCATCTGAGCCCTGGATGTTTAAAGTACAGAGGCAATTTTACAGTCCACTTGTGAACCCAGGAGAAGTGTGCAGCGTGGTCCCCTGTCATGCAGCGAAGAATCCTCCTCATCCCTAATGTCCCGGTGCGAGCTGATTGGGATTCAGAGAGGCTGCCTTTCATTTGCACGCTCAGATGAATGGCTGTGCACGCAGAGGGGTCGGCACGAACTGGATACGAATATTTATTTGCTGATTTAATTAATGTTTTAGAGGGTGTGTGTGTGTGTGGGTGTGCGTGCGTGTGTGCGTGCGTGCGTGCATGTGTGTGTGTGTTCGTTGAGAGAGGTGGTTGAGAGACACACACACACACACCCACACCCCACCCTGTTCCTTCTGTCGACAGTGAGAAGAGGCTGAAGCAGATGTCAGCTGCAGCACAAATGAGAATCACTGATACTCACTGAGATGATGTTCAGAAATATGAGCTAAGCCCTGATGTTATAATTAAAGGGCTATTTCGTAATGGCTTGTTTTATTTTGCTTATGCTCACAAATGTTCTATTGACACAGTGAAAGAACCGAGAGCAAAGTTCTGTTTTAGTTTGACCTAGAAAAATCCTCTTTTTAAAAGTTTGCTTAAAAATGCAGCCATATAAACTGCGCTGTGTGTATTTTTGTGTCATTTCAGCCACTGGTGTGTCCTCACATTTGAGCAGAGTCTTGTTTTAATGAGCTGACTCTGCTCTGTAGGAGACTTCCTTCCTCATTTGTCTCCCAGGCTGCAACAGCATCCAAGTTCTACATTTATTTCTCCTCCATTTCCAGGTTCCGGGTGACAAAGTGTGAAAAACCAGTCAGGGAGAGGCGGACTCTGTTAATATCAGACTCCAATGGGAGTGTCCCCACATCTCCCACAAAGGTGGAGCCCAAGAGCCGGACGACGTCTGAGTCCCAGCAGGTCTGTGTCCTGGAAACTTAGATTCATCTCGTTCTCTTGTCGTCATTGTTTCTCATTTGCCTCCCCCCCATTAACACCCCTGTGTGTAAATAAGCAGTGTGTACGTATGCAGGATAATTTATGTGTGTCAGTGGAGGCGCCGCAGTTGGTCTGTGATTATTATTATTTTTTTGATGATGTGCATGTTCACAGCACCTGGTGACATTAACCCCCCTCTGATAAATAGTTTCCCTCCAGTAGAGAGGAATCTGTTCTGAAAGCAAGTGGTGGCCCAACACTTTTACCGACTCTAGGATTCACAAGTGAGGCTGGATTCAGAGAGTGAATTTAATTGAAACTTCGCCAAGGAGGTTATGATTTCACCAACAATTTGTTAGACATTCCTCAGAGAATAATTGTGTGAATTCCAAATAACCTAGATCAAATTAATTTAAATGTGGTTTCATAAGAGGACTGAGAATTATAGTGGACTAGTTGTTTCAGCTTCAGTTTTGACAGGGATAGCACATTCCCATGTGGCCGAACACAAGTTTAATTGTTAACAGACAAACCACATTTTCACCGGCACTTCGACTAACTGTTTATTATCATTGTGGTGAGGTTAATGTGAGTTTAACAGAATAAGTTAAATGAGTTAAACATCCATGATGAAGAGCAGCAGCAGTAATCGGCCCTCAGCGCTGCATATTTCTGTTTACATTACCTTGTGTTCAACACTCGCAGCTGCGTAACGACAAACTGTGTCAGAAACCTCCTCAGAGAACAAGCAGAGAAAACTGCCACTGCTGCTTTAAAGTGAGTCCTGCGGGATTCAGCTCTAATTCGGCCTGTATATTAGTCATCAGGGCTTCATGCATGATATCACATTTAACGGTGCATTGTGTAAGATTTAGGTGAAAGGGATTATTGGCAGAAATTGAATATAAAATAATCCTAGTGATGTGTTCACCAGTGTGTTTCATCTAAATTGTATGAATTGTTGTTTTCTTTACCCTAGAATGAAAAATCCTTTATATTTACATGAGTAAATATAATTGTATTAATTAATTTTATTGACTTTCTAACAATGTTGGGTAAAAACTAAAAGTCTTATATGTGATGTAATACATTGAAACTTAAAGACAAATTCCCAACATCCTTGATCAATGTTTTTTTTCCCTCTACCACCAGGAGCAAACAGACACCACGGACAATGAGAAATGATAAAAGAAAAAAAAATGCAGGTAACCTGTCACATATTAAATTTCTTTCATCTGTGAGGTCCTTGTCTCCATTTCTCTGTCTAACATGATTTACTTTCTAACTCCACAGCTTTCTCAAGAGAAAAGCAACATCTGGACGCTTTTTATAAAAACCCAAACGAGAACACTCAAACATCTGCACAAGAGGAACAGAGAGCATCGAACCGAGGATCGTTCCCTCCACACGCTCGCTCCACAGGGAGTGAAAAAGCTGCTGCCGATGAAGGCGAACAATGTTTTTTACAAGTAGAAGAATGGAAAGGTGTGTCTGGTCACGATACAATCCATTTCCTACGAATCTTACAGCCGAACCTTGCTCCAAGACTTCAAGGCAAAGGAACCACGAGCCGGGGCTTTTCCCAGCAAACTAATCAGCCAACATGCCGATGTGTCCATGTTTTTTTTGCATGTTATCAAGCGGTTAATTTGTAAAACGACACCCTCATGAACGGGCGCTGCCAGACTGAGATAAAGTCGTACGGAGTCATTCCAGGAAGAAGGAACAACCTGATATCGTCGTCGCAGAGCCGGGAAAACACAGCGGAGCATTAGCATCAGCGATAAGAGCAGAGCAACAGTAATCACATCCTGTAGAGGTGTGAACATAACGGTATTGATGTTCCCGCTGAGACACATGCTCAACCAATCATGAGTCAGTTTCAGCTGTCAATCATGATGCCACGCCCCGTTGTTATATAGCATCAAATGAAATAAAACCAAACTTCTCAAAAAAAAAACTAAAAAAAAACTCACTTGAACCTTAACCCTCAAAATGACAGAAACCCTCTTTGAGAAAAATGCATTTAACATTTACTTTGAATTTTTATTTTGGACCATGTCTCATCCATTAACCTAGAGGAGGCTAGGTTTATGACTTATACTGCAGCCAGCCACCAGGGGGAGATCAAGACACTTGGGCTGCATTTTTGAGGAGCTGCCATGTCATTCATCTTTATATCGAGTCTATGAGCTGCATTAATTGTATTTTTCTGGCCACTTGGGGGCAGCAGTCCAATATTCACTGTGCGTTTGCCTCTATTTTGGTAGCTAACTGCCTCTTCAGCTACTTAATCTGCTAGCTGCTAACTTTGGCGGCCTTGCGCTAAACTGTTATCTTAAGCACAGAAGTCTAGAAATTACGATCAGAGCTGTGAACCAAAATAAGAAGGTTGTGGACTGAAGCTTTAGCTTAAAGACACCAAAACGTGACGTAAAGCCACTTAGTTGACCCTTTATACATAGTCATGTGACCAGATGTTAATATAAAACTATATTTTTGTAGCTTTAATTTGTAATAATAAAAGTCATTTAGATTTGAAGTAGGTTTTTGTTGCATGCTATAACATAAATATAATTCACTGAGGTGTAACATTACATTGTTTTGTTTGTAAAACGTTAAAACACTTTTCTATTTAAAGACGGTTGAAGGAAAATGTCGACTATTCTGACTAAACAAACGTGAACGCCTTTACTTCTCCATTTGATCTGTCTCGTCCCTTTCGGCTTCGCTCTCATGTTACAGAATAAATCTTATTCTGTCGAAGCCAAACGAAGCTACTTATTTTAACTCAGCCTGGATTTATCATATTTTACCATGAGCTGCCTTCTTTACATGAATCGTCATCGTAGTAAGAGTTCATGAGCAGATACAAATGACTTCATCCGTTACAGATTACCTGTCCGTTCTTCTGCCAGGATGTAATACTTCCTTTTCTTTTATTGCACGTGCCGTTGTTCGACGAGCGTTTACAGTGTCAAGAACCATTTGATGTGGAGAGCAGAGAAAATGTTTTTCGTCACTTTCATGTTGACTGTTACCTCCTGAAACACGTGTGGTATGACTCTAAATCTTTGTTCGTGTGTGTGTGAGAGTGAGAGAAAGAACGAGCAAAGATTTGAAATCCTCCCTTTAACACAGCGTCATTTCTTTTTTTAATGGGAAATTCTTATTCTCACGTGTGACGAGTCACTTCAACCTAGAACCTGTCACCACAGATACACAAACGTATGTATATCGTGGCGAGCAGCACAAGCGAATGAAAACAAAGCCCAGACATTAGATGGTTAGCGTGATCCCGTAAAATCAAGACGGATTACAATCTGCCTTGTGATCTAATGTGGACGCGCACATCACATCATTGAAATAACAAGTGAACCTGGAGCCTAAAGAAACACAGAACTTGGTTGTTTTGTCCGAGTTCATTTCCTGAATTTCTACAACAGAGCCGAAGTGCAGCATCAACATGACGCTCAGTCAGAAAGGTCACAGTGATGAGAATAAGATCCAACGTAAGAAATCAAACCTTTTTTCAAATTTACACTAGAAAACAGAGAGAATTACCACGAGAATGTCACAGTTCTCTATCGCCCAGTGTTCTGTAACAGCCTCATCAGTCAAGTTGAATATTTATTTATTTTTATGCTCAACTTTTTTTAACGAAGAGTGCACAGGGTCAAGATGTACTTTGTACTGATGTCTTTAGTTTGAAAACTCTACCTCTTTTGTCCTTGTGTGGAAAATAAAATAAAACTGTGGCAGCAGGAACAGGATCAAGGATTGAATTTATCATAAAGTGGCTCTAGTGAATTTATACATAATATGTTAGTTTACAAGTCACGAGCAGGGTTATCTTCTCCCGGGCTTTGTGACGACGAACATGAAACACAAAGCTTTTATTTGTTGGAGTCTCTGGAGCTTTGCCCCAAAACCAAAAGATGTTCATCAGAAAACCTGCTGCTTTGTTTTTTTTATGGGGGTTTGTAGCTTTTTAAAAACCCTTTCTGGGGTTTGACATAATCAAACAAGTAAAATCGTTGTGAAACATATTAAACGTGTTTGTGAATGTCATTTCATTTTAAAAACTGTATTGAAAAACATGCATGTGTTATTTTTCATGTTTTGGGAAAGTTTGCTGTTTTTTATTGTTGTATAATGAAAGAAATAAATCAAATAAAGACGACTAATACATCAAACCATAAGTAATTGTCTAACACACTGGTGTGAGTGGCCAATTTAAGTCAATAATGTAAATTTAAGGCTTAAATATGTTAAAATATTATGTGATAGGTCTCTGTCTCTGAAATGTTCTGGACACAACAGGAAAATAACCTGCTGCTGTAAATGCGTCTGACCCGGACAGTCTCCTGCTGCGTTCTTAATATCTGCACCCAATTTTCAGGACATTTTCAGCTCCTCTCCCTCCTCCCTCATGTCACCTAACCATCCGTCTTCATATCGTATTCTTCCTCATTTCCTTCTTTCCCCTCGTTCCCTCTCTCTCGCGCCATAATGACAATATGATTTGTCTCCTTCATCTTGAGTAGCTAGTGCGATGACCTCTGTCCTCCATCGTATTATTTCCAGATAATGGAGACGGAGAGGTGTGTTTTGAGGCGACGCGCGGCACCGAGGATTAACAATCCTTGACTCTTTGAGTCCTCTTAACCATCTGATTCTTATCAGGATCACTGTGCGGACGAAACGCCTTTTACTCACGGATCCAAAGACTCTGACCTCAAAGGGACTAAAGAAGAAATCAATTAATTCAGATGATGGCTTCATTAAATAATTACCAGGCCTATCTATTCTGAACAACAGCGAGGGCGTGATTAAACGAGGCCTCTGACTGACACACGGTTGTCGCTGGGGTCACTCGACGACGCTGGTGGACGTATTGACTGTCCGAGTGTTGACAGGGACGGGGGAACAGAAAGCCTGACGACACACAGGGCGTCGTCACCCCACCCATCACTGTAGGCTCAAAGCAACACCTGCCTTTTACAAACACACACACACACACACAGGATGGCTTCAGGATGTAAAACCTGTCGGAGCGATGCGGTCGACTGTGCAGGACGTAAATAAGCAGCTCAAGGACCTGGTGCAAATATTGACTCCTGTGTTTACTGTACTTATTACCAGGGAGAGAAATATAAAGCTAATGTTGTTTTTCACTTTCTCACACCACATTGAAGCGGCTAAAAATCCCTCAAGGACATTAGGAATGCACATAAGAACTGCACAGATAACAATAAAGCTTGGTTCTGTCTCTTTTGCACGACTTTCATGAGCAGTAAATTTATCTCAGGCACTGAATTATTAAGGCCTCCAGGCGACAGGATTCCCAGGCCGATGCCAGGCTAAGTGCCCTACATCTTATCTCTGTCTCCCGCTATCAGCCGAGAGGACGGAGCTGTAACTCAGGAGGAGGGAATTCTTTTTCTTTCTTTTTTCTTTATTTTTAGCAAAACATTCAGGACCTAAGGGAGGAAGACGAGTCGATGTTGGACACGTCTGAATCACATCAGAGCTGTGACCTTCTGAAATGGCTCAGTTTCCCGCGAGAGTAGACTGTATATAAAGACGGATCACGTGTCTCCGCTTCCTCGCACTATCCAGAAAAACAATCCGCATGCAAACGCCACAATCTCATGCATTTGAAGCCAGACCTGGTGTCATCACCAAATAAAAATTTCCTGCAATAATCGGCACTTTATTTTACATGTAGTTTGACTTCTTAGCTTGGTCCGTATTCCATCCACTAACATGGAGGAGTATGACCTATGCAGCCAGCCACCAGGTGGCGACCAAGACACTTTGGCTTCACTTTTGAGGAGCTGCCATTTTGAATTTCATGAGCTTACTGACGTTTGTTCGTGTTATTTTGTAAGTTGGGTTTTAATAACAAATACAAAAGAGGTGAAACATCATGATTGACAGCTGAGACTGGCTCACGACTGGTCGAGTGTGTGTGTCGACCGGAATGTTTAGTTTTCAAGCGTCGCCTGTGGTCGTCACCAGAGTTAAACATTACCGGTTTTTAGGGATGTTGGTTGAATTCCAGGATTTTCGATTATTTGAGGCTCTTTGAATGTCCACACTGATTAACAGATTTTCAGGTAGGAGGTTAAATCAACAAACAGTAGAAGGTTGTTGACGGGATGATGGGAACCAGGAAGTACACTGAGAGGACGTCCCTGTTTTTACTGTAACTGGCTCCAGAAAGTCTAAGAACATTTACCACTTTAACAATTTACCACTCACACTATGTTTCAAAGTTTGTAGAAATAATGTTAACCATCGAGAACCTGTGGAAAAATTCATCTTCATCCTCTTTAAATACAGTCCAACCTGTTCCTCCGAGACAAGTGCGAGTGTGTGTGTGTGTGAGTGGGGGGGGGGCAATTAAGTGTGACATCATTAACTCCAACAAAAGCCTTGAGAAAAACAAACATGTTAACTGAGAGCGTGCACACACACACACCTCGGGGACTCTCTAAAGCAAGCTGCCTAATGGACCCAATAAAAACAGCACAGAGGAATCTGCCACAGAAGTGCTCTTAAGTTGCCATCACACACACACACACACACACACACACA